GGATCATCCACGTGGCAGCTTTGCATAGGGAGAGACAGCTCTGAACTGGAACTGAACTGCCTTCCACACGCTTGACCAAAGCAGTGATGAGGGTGGCCAGTACATGTGGCGTGAGTGGTAGGTTATAAGAGAAGGCAATGTTTCCTGCTGATTGTTTCCTTTGTCCTTGGGCTGCTCAAGCTGGACAGTAGGTAACCACTATTTTCAAGGAACCAGCCCAACCTTGCTGGCTTGGTTCAGAGTTTGTTTCATCCCTAGCTGTGAGTGCCTTTTGGTCTGGAAAGTTGGCTTGTCTCATAATACCCACAGCTAGGACATTCTCTCTGTAATTATGAATTGTCCTTGTTTTACATTAAAAGAGAATGTCTTTGATCACTAGAGTTTGTCGGTGTTGGATTGTTTCCACTGTGAGATTCTTAAACTTTTTCGCTTCATAATATTAAAATAACTCATGTTAGAGACCCTTTCAACATGAAAGGTTTGTAGTTAAGACATTACATATATTTTATTGTTTATAATAAAAATCATCTATACAAAAGAAGTACTGGGTGTTAATTTTAATATTTTGCACAAGCTCTGTTTTCCATATGTGTTAACATCTACAATTTCACTAACTGTTAGTGTTATTTTCTATTGAGATTCTGGAGCCTAGGGAGCTATGTGTTCTTTTTGTTTATGTTTGTTCTTATTTCCCTGAAGCAAGAGACTATATGGCCTTCAGTGCAAAGACTTCAGACCAATTCTTTGTATTACACTTGGTTGCCTCTTGGCTATATAACTTCTGAGTGCAAATCATTGAACTCTTTAATGAAGTATTGTAGAGAATAAATCATAATGGATAAAAATTGTTCTTTGCCCTGACTTTTTCTTTGACCATGTGGCTTGAATTATGTGGAACATAACAGTGGTGCTATTTTTGGAGCCAGCCAAAAAGATAGTATTCAGTCTGCCTGCAGATTTTGCGTGGTGCTCATAACCCCCCAGCAACCTTGCACTTGTGTATTTCTTGTGTGTGTGTGGTTGGCAGCACTGCCACTGGCTTTTTAGAGCCAGGTTTCGTCAGCAATTGTTCATGAACCCTTTAAAATTTGGGTTTTTTTCAGAAAGGTAGTTTGCGTGCATTGGATTGTCAAATAAACTGACCTTTCCACAAAAGCTAAAACTTTTGGGGAAAAAAAAAAAAAACACTCAAATTTAGGATATCATTTGGTGATATTTATTTATTTATTTATTTTTTGAGACAGAGTCTTGCTCTGTTGCCCAGATTGGAATGCCATGGGGTCAGCCTAGCTCACAGCAACCTCAAACTCCATGGGTTCAAGCTATCCTACTGCCTCAGTCTCCCAAGTAGCTGGGACTACAGGCATGTGCCACCGTGCCCAGCAAATTTTTTCTCTATATTTTTAATTGTTCGACTAATTTCTTTCTACTTTCAGTAGAGATGGGCTGTTGCTCTGGCTGGTCTTGAACTCCCACTTCCGCCTCCCAGAGTGCTAGGATTACAGCGGCGTGAGCCACTGCGCCCAGACTATTGTTGATGTTAAGTCAAGCAAAGACCCTGGGACATTGGTATGGTCTGACGTAACTGGAAAGGTTTATTGTTTTTGGGTGGCCCAGAAACAAGAGATGGGTTTGGAGAAAATGACAGTCATTTTTCAAAATTATAAACATTCATATACTGGGATTCTCAGTCTTCAGTTTATAACCTCATTTGTAGGGAGGTAGGTTTTTATTTTGTTTAAGATACCCAGTTCTGAGGCCCTTATATTTGGCAAAACTCATAAAACACATGGCTACAGATAAACATGTCAGGGTTAGGTGATTTTGAAAATAGACTACAAGCAGCTGGTTAAACATTTACAGACTTTAGTAATAACTGATGTGTGTCGAGGAATTTTTTGTTTCTTCAAGAAATTAATGTTCTAGAGATTACATTTCATATTATCTCTAATAGTGCCTATAAACAGCATGGGATTCCTTAGTGCTGATTTTTTGGGGGTTAGGGGTTGGTGATAAAATACATATAACAGTATTTGCCATTTTAGCCATCCGTATTAACTTCTGAGATGTGAAATGAGCCATCAGATTAGTGGTGCTAATTTGAGTTGGGGAGGTGCTCTAAAGCTGCTTCCAGATCAATCTAGGGTCTAACCCTGGCTTGAATATCTGAACTGGAAATACGATTCAATGAATGGACTGGTTAAAGGGCTTCACTCTGCACCAATACTGTACAAAGAACCATAGCAGTGTTCTGAGGAACATAATGCAAGTCCTGTCCCTGCTGAGTCTCAGTTTCCCTCACTGGAAAATGAAGCTCAGACAAGGGTTCAAGGGTCCCTTCCTGTTGCTTACCAACTCTGTTTCTACTCACACAGATTCTATATGCCATGGCGAATTGAAAAACAAGTGACCCAATTTCAAAACTCTAAGGGAAACACAGCAAGAGAAAGGCTTCAAATTCACTTGTCAGTCACTCAAGTCCCTGCTGCCAACCAGAGACCCTGCCCCAAATCCCTAATATGGCCATTCTTTGCACCCTGGTGCCCAACCAAAGAAATAACTCAGGGCAGCTGACAACTGAAATCTTCACGGGCTGACAGTCCTATAGGCTTCAGCTCAAACCCTGGTCCTGCCATTTATGAGGCAAAGTGTTACTTGCTACTCGGAACCTAATTTCCTGCTTTGTAACAGGACTGAATCTCCAAGGTAGCCTGATGGAAATGCTTTGCCCAGGTCTCAGTACATGGTGCAATAGCTGGAAGGCTGTGGTCCTCTGGACTGCCATCCAGTGCTGGGTGTGCCAGGGAACACAACTGTCTGTAACCTTAAGCTTCACTGGCATGTGAAAGGAGGCGGCGCTCAGCCCTTCAAGCGGGGCAGGCTTCCTGAAAGGGGTGGGTGCTGAAGTAAGCATGGCATGACCTTGAGGAGTGAAGGCTTCTCAGGGACAGGCAGATAAGCCCTCTCAGGAGGTGACACTGCCACAGGCCAGACAGGCCTTACAGTCCAGGACTCTCAGGACAGCCTTCTGGAGGTTTCCATACCTGGATGTCAAGGGCTTGTTGCAGAATCACACAAAAGCCCCAGAGACTCGCCCCTTTGTATCTCTAGAGATGGTACCAATGGCAAGAGAAAGGGTTACATATGAGTAGTACTCAAATAAACTGTTGCCAGTTTATTTCTTTGGCTTCCTTTGTAGTATTTACCACCAAACTTCCAGCAGCAAGTGTAACTTTTGTGTGTGTGTGTGAGGGTCTTGCTCTGCCACCCAGGCTGGAGAGCAGCACCTTAATAATAGCTCACTGCAGCCTTGAACTCCCAGGCTCAAGTGATTCTTCAGCCAGAGCCTCTCAAGTAGCTGGCACTACACAGGCCAGCACCACCTCACCTGGCTAAACAATGTTTTTAATTTGTGGTAGACTACCTTACATTGTGAGATTCTGTGTATTAACTTTGAGTACATCTCTAAGTGTTCTGTTTTAGAGGCAGAACACTTATGTCTAGGCACAACACACGAGTGGTTAGGCCTGTAAGAAGTTCTTTGAGAAACACTCTAACAGGTTATAAAAGGTGGAAATTTTTCTTTTGATGGAAAAAATTATATAATAGTATAAATAAAAAGTGAATTTTGGCAAAAATTGTTTCATGTTTACATAAGATCTGTATAATTACTGTACTTTCCTTTACTTCCCAAGAATGAAAGTGACATTTAAGGACAATGAAATATGAATTTACCTTTAAGAGTGAATATTCCTCTTAACGTATTTGATGTTTTCTTTCCATCTGACTCCATGTTAAGCAGCAATGGCAGTGCAGTTCCCCCAGATCCTCCTGAGGCAGGCTCACCTACTCCAAATAGAAGTAACCTCGCTCTCTCCTTTGACTTTCTCTCAGACCATTTGCCAGATCTTGCAACAACTACTCTTGGTGAATTCCTTATGAAGTCCTGACTCATCTTTTTAACCCCAGGACCTTGCACATAAGTATTTATAATGACTTCCCACATTAAATGTTGTAAACACATCAACCTGTGAAATGTCACTGTATGCATTATTTGTTATTCTTTCTTCTCTCTTCATCTGTTGACATGTCTCTTGCCAAGTGCGTACAGAAGATAAAAAGTGTTGGTTATCCAGCTAATCTTTGGGCCAGCACATTGTAAGGTCCAAATAGTAGGTGCTCTGTAAAGGCCTGTGGGATGAACAGATGGAAAAAGAGTCCCACACTGAGTTCCAGGCCCACTTGGACCATCCAGCTGATGCAGGACCACAGACTCCTTCTCAAGACATCTGTCCTGGCCAGGTACAGTGTCTCATGCCTATAAACCTAGCACTCTGGGAGGCAAGAGGACTGCCTGAGGTGAGGAGTTCAAGACTAGCCTGAGCAAGAGCAAGACCCCATCTCTACTAAAAAAAAAATTAGCTGGGCATGGTGGCGTCTGCCTTAGTCTCAGCTACTTGGGAGGCTGAGGCGGGAAGATCACTTGAGCCCAGGAATTTGAGGTTGTATGTAGTGAGCTATAATGATGCCACGACACTCTAGCCAGATGACACAGAGAGACAATGTTTCAAAAATAAAAAGAAAAAAAGACATCTGTCTTGCAACTCTGATAAACTGTGCAGGAAAACACTTTGAAATAGTAACAAACTCTGCCAATACTATATATTCTACTATTGTTTAAGTCAATACATTTCTTCTGGAAATACAGATACGGAGAAATCAATTTTGCAAAAATTATATTTATAAATCAAAGAAATACATATTCTTATTTGGTAATATCTCAATTTTCTTTTCTTTTTTTAGAGAAAAGGCAAGGGCGTGCTGGACAAGAAGAGAGCGATTCTTCCGACGCGAGCCTAACGGGCGATCCCTCGGCGGCCGGGAGCCCGCGGGAGCCGACAACCCTAGCCCGGCAGCGGCGCCCGCGGGGCTCAGACGGCCCCGCCGCATTCTCGACTCCGCTCCGCGCTAGGCCACGCCCCTTCCGACGCCGTCAGCTCCGCGTTTCCGCTTCCGGCGGTGGCAGCGGTGGCGCGCGGCGCAGCCATGGCTGCTGGTGGCAGCGATCCTCGGGCCGGCGACGTAGAAGAGGACGCCTCGCAACTCATCTTTCCCAAAGGTGGGTCTGGGGCTGCCAGACTTCGCCGCTTTCTCTCGTGTTCGCAGCAAGTCTGGCCTGATCCGCGCCTCGCCCAAGGCCTGGCCGCGGCGGCAGCGTGGGCTAGGGAGGGAGCCCGGACCTGGGAGGGGCGCGGCTGGGCTTCGGCAGAGCCTGGCGTCGCCTGCTCCGTGCCTTGGGGGCAGGGCCGACTTAATTCCACCTCCCCCCTCCCCCCCCGTCTCGGAAACCTCGGCCCCCAACTCCTTCCTGTCTCCTGGACGACCTCTTGCTACCTCTTTTAAGCAGTTTATGTGATAACAAACCGCGAAGTTCTGCAGGGATGTGTCCAAGATAAAACAAAGCCTTACACTAAAGTGGTAAGGACAGATTTGAATCAATAATAAAATGTTGCACATTCTAGAGTGAACTGATCTCAACTTCGATTTGTAAACAACCTCTGGGCGTTTTGAAGGTAAACTGAAGGAGTAGGGAGGAGGGAGCAAGGGCTCAGAAGTCAGGAAAGTGAGAAATTACAAAAGGAAAAGGGGGGCTGTTGGTCCATGTGACACCCACCTTGGTTTGTTGACAGGGGTGCCTATCGGAGTTAGACTCCTGCCCTTCCACAGAGATTGAGAAATAGGAGCCTTATCTTAAGGTGTTGGCTGAAACAAACAGTAAATTATTTTGGTACCTTGAGTTTTCTCAGGCATGCCTTTTTAAGTGGGATGGGGAGGGTCTTCCTAGGGATGAGAACCTGAGCTTTAGAAACCATGTTAGTGTTTGTTCCAGTCTTTATGGACTAAGTTGAGGCTTAGTCTAAAAGAGGGCTCAGAAGAGCCTGGCTGGAGTTTGGTCAAGGAGGTAATCTTTATCAGATGGCAGCAAGTAAAGCATACTTCACTGTTAGGGTACTTCCTCTTTGCAGTGGAATGTATTTCATTTGTAATTTAGAGACCAAAAATAAGTAGGAAGCTTAATATTTTAAAATATTTCCTGACGAGGTGGCTTACGCTTGTAATCCTAATACTTTGGGAGGCTGAGACCAGAGGGTCGCGTGAGGCCAGGAGTTTGAGACCAGCCTAAGCAACATAATGAGACCCTGACTCTATTCAAAAATAAAAAAAAATAGTGGGCATGGTGGCACGGGCCTGTAGTCCTGGCTACTGGAGAGGTTGAGGCATGAGGATCACTGGAACCCAGGAGTTTGAGACTGCAGTGAGCTATGATGATGGCACTACACTCTAGCCTGGACAACAGAGCAAGACTCTGCCTCTAAAAAAAAGATTTTAAAATCCTATGTCTTACGGGTACTCAAAAACACAAAGTAGGCCAGACATGGTGGCTCATGCCTGTAATCCTAGCACTCTGGGAGGCTGAGGTGGGCAGATCCTTTGAGCTCAGGAGTTTGAGACCAGCCTGGGCAAGAGTGAGACCCCATCTGTTAAAAATAGAAAGAAATTAATTGGCCCACTAAAAATTAAAAATTAAAAAAAAACTAAAAAAAATTAAAAATTAAAAAAAATTAGCCAGGCATGGTGGTGCATGCCTGTAATCCCAGCTACTCGGGAGGCTGAGGCAGGAGGATTGCTTGAGCCCAGGAGTTTGAGGTTGCTGTGAGCTAGGCTGACGCTATGGCACTCACCCTAGCCTGGACAACAAAGCAAGACTCTGTCTCGCAAATCAAAAACCAAAAACCAAAAAAAAGACCATCTGAAAATACCATTCTTCTCATAAAACACTTGGGTTTTTTTGAGGCAGAGTCTTACTGTCACCCTGCCTAGAGTGAGTGCCGTGGCGTCAGCCTAACTTACAGCAGCCTCAGACTCCTGGGCTCAAGCGATCCTCCTGCCTCCGCCTCCCGAGTAGCTGGGACTATAAGCATGTGCCATTATGCTTGGCTAATTTTTTTAATATATATTTTTAGTTGGCCAATTAATTTCTTTCTATTTTTAGTAAAAATGGGGTCTCTCTCTTGCTCAGGCTGGTTTGGAACTCCTGACCTTGAGCCTGCCAGAGAGCTAGGATTACAGGGGTGAGTCACCATGCCCAGCGGCAGTTGTTCTTAAAATATTGGCACAAGGGAGAGTAACATGCAGATTCTCTGATCTACTTCCTTTTTTTTTTTTTTTAATTTTTTTTTTAAGACTAGTCAAGTGCAGTAGTGAGGAGGGGGGAAAGTAGTAGAACAAGGAGTTCAATCTGTAACTGACTGTGAACAATCACGTGAGATAACTCACTACCTTCGGACCAGCCTATCTACTTCCTTTTGAGTCCAAATAAATTGTGTGTGTGTATGACTTTACCTAGAAAATGTTTGTTGGGATTAGACATAGGAAGAGGTCTTGGGTCCTTCCTCCCCATAGTTACATAAAAGTGTCTGAACCTCTCACTCACCCCTGTTGATGCTGAATCTTGGAGATGCCTCCCTAGGGCTTTGTGGTGGGTCTCGGGCAGCCCTTTCCTAGGTCCTCTGAATGACAGTTTGGCTGCCTTCACCTTTCCTTGGCTGAAAGGAGGTGAGGGTATTATACAAGTAGTACTTGGGCATTGCCCGTAATAAGTAATAGGAACAGGTGACTAGTTTCCTAGTGTCCTAAAAGTTCCATCCGATTACTTTTTTTTTTTTTTGAGACAGAGTCTCACTCTGTTGCCCAGGCTAGAGTGAGTGCCGTGGCATCAGCCTAGCTCACAGCAACCTCAAACTCCTGGGCTCAAGCAATCCTCCTCAGCCTCCCGAGTAGCTGGGACTACAGGCATGCGCCACCATGCCTGGATAATTTTTTCTCTATATATATGTTAGTTGGCCAATTAATTTCTTTCTATTTATAGTAGAGACAGGGTCTCGCTCTTGCTCAGGCTGGTTTTGAACTCCTGACCTCGAGCAATCCACCCGTCTGGGCCTCCCGGAGAGCTAGGATTATAGGTGTGAGCCACCTTGCCTGGCCTGTGTCATTATTTAATAACATGTCTAGGTCAAGTTCTCTGGTGTCAGAAACTGTCTTTTATCTCATGAATTCCACTGTACCTTGTGATACACGAGTGTGGATGAAAGTAAAAATGTAAAGTAAGAAGCCCCTGATTTCTGCAGGGGCAGAGAAATGTTCAAATGCAAAATGGACATTTAGAAGTAGACTTTTGAAGGAATATTTTCAGTTGACATATATGCTTCTCACAAATAGAGTTTGAAACAGCTGAAACACTTCTAAATTCAGAAGTTCATATGCTTCTGGAGCATCGAAAGCAGCAAAATGAGAGTGCAGAGGATGAACAGGAGCTCTCGGAGGTCTTCATGAAAACATTAAACTACACATCCCGTTTCAGTCGTTTCAAAAACAGAGAGACCATTGCCAGTGTTCGGAGGTGAGTGCTAAAAGAAGTTTTTATTAATTTCTTTTCTTTTATTTTTTTAAGACAGAATCTCGCTCTGTTGCCAGGGCTAGAGTGCCCTGGCGTCAGCCCAGCTCACAGCAACCTCAAACTCCTGGGCTTAAGTAATCCTCCTGCCTCAGCCTCCCAAGCAGCTGGGACTACAGGCATGTGCCACCATGAGAGCTAGGATTATAGGCGTGAACCACCACGCCTGGCTTTAATATTTTGTATTTTTAATAGAGATGGGATCTCACTCTTGGTCAGGCGAGTCGAATTCCTGACCTCAAGCGATCTGGCTGCCTTGGCCTCCCAGAGTGCTAGGATTACAGGTGTGAGCTACCACACCCGGCCAGTTTTTATTAATTTAAACTATTGGACAATAACTGCATGGACAACACTGTCTCCTCTCACCCACTTCCCCCAGGCATCATCTGTGAATTTAATATAAGTAAAATAATGTCTTTGTTAAAAATTTTAAAATTATTTTGAGGGCAACATTTCCTTTAGTTCTTTTTTATTCCAAATCTGTTATCTTCCCACAAAGTAACTACTCTCAGTATGTATGTGTCTCCTGTATACTTGTAAAAAAAGACATATCCTGGCCAGGCACGGTGGCTCACTCCTATAATCCTAGCACTCTGGGAGGCTGAGGCGGGTGGATTGTTCGAGGTCAGAAGTTCGAAACCAGCTTGAGCAAGAGCGAGACGCTGTCTACTATAAATAGAAAGTAATTGGCCAACTAATATATATATAGAAAAAATTAGCTGGGCATGGTGGCACATTCCTGTAGTCCCAGCTACTTGGGAGGCTGAGGCAGCAGGATTGCTTGAGCCCAGGAGTTTGAGGTTGCTATGAGCTAGGCTGATGCCACCACACTCACTCTAGCCTGGGCAGCAAAGCGAGACTCTGTCTCAAAAATAAAAAAGTGAGACCCTGTTTCTACAAAAAAAAAAAAAAAATAGAAAAACTAGCCAGGCATGGTGGCTTATGCCTATAGTTCCTGCTAGTTGGGGGTCTGAGGCAGGAGAATTGTTTGAGCCCAGGAGTTTGAAGTTGCAGTGAGCTATGATGACACCACTGCACTCTAACCTGGCAGACAGAGCAAGACCCTGTCTCATTATAAAAAACCAAAAAACACATAGCATTATTTTGTGGAGTGTTTTCTTTTTCTTAATAAAGAAAGCTTATTTAGTTTTTACATCAAGAACATTCTTTCCAGATCTTTGCTTTACCTTTCCAAATAGTGACCAACTAACTTTTAGCCTGTTTTCTCCTATGGCATTATTTCCAAATTGGACCGGATGCTCACTGGTAAACACAATGATGTTCTCGGGCACATGGGAGGTCACAGGAAAAGTAGCACATCTTCCTCAAGTCTCAGTTTCACTTAATTGGTGGGTGATTTAAAACATTTTACATTAAAGCAAACATCCCAGCATATTGTGGAGTAAAGCAAAAAATGTATATGAATGTTCTTGAGGCTTAAAACCTTCAAGTTGTCCAGGTGTGGTGGCTCACGCCTATAATCCTAGCAATTTGGGAGGCTGAGGCGGCTGAATGTTTGTGCTCAGGAGTTCAAGACCAGCCTGAGCAAGATCGAGACCCTGTCTCTACTATAAATAGAAATTAGCCAAACAATTAAAAATGGAAGAAAAGTAGCCGGGCACGGTGGCGCATGCGTGTAGTCCCAGCTACTTGGGAAACTGAAACAGGAGGATCTCCTGAGCCTAGGAGTTTGAGGTTGCTGTGAGCTAGGCTGATGCCATGGCATTCTAGCCCAGGCAACAAAGTGAGACTCTGTCTCAAACAAACAAAGAAATAAATAAATAAAAATAAAAAAAAATAGAAAGAAATTAGCTGGACTACTAAAAATATATAGACAAAAAAAAAAGCCAGGCATGGTGACACATGCCTGTAGTCCAAGCTACTCTAGGGCTAAGGCAGGAGGATCACTTGAGCCTAGGAGTTTGAGGCTGCAGTGAGCTGTGATCCTGCCAGTTTACTCCATCCAAGGTGGCAGTGATACCTTGTTTCTATCAGACCAAAAAAAAAAAAAAAACTGGGCCAGGCATGATTGGCTCATGCCTGTAATCCTAGCACTCTGAGAGGCTGAGGTGCGCGGATTGTTTGTGCTCAGGAGTTTGAGACCAGCCTGAGCAAGAGTGAGAGCCTGTCTTTACTGAAAATAGAAAGAAATTTCTTAGACAGCTAAAAATATATAGAAAAAATTAGCCGGGCATGGTGGCATATGCCTGTAGTCCCAGCTACTTGGCAGGTTGAGGCAGGAGGATTGCTTGAGCCCAGGAGTTTGAGGTTGCTGTGAGCTGGGCTGGCGCCACGGCACTCTAGCCCAGGCAACAAGAGTGAGACACTGTCTCAGAAAATAAAAAAAACAAAAAAGAGTCTAAAGTTTGTACAAAATGGAATAGTCTCTAAAGGCTCAATTCACATTATAACTTCAAATGGCAAGCTTATTTTCATGAAGTAATGTTCATCCTCAAGAAAATCAAAGAAATGGTAAAATGCCTAAGTAGATTTAAAAAGATTAAAAAGAATGGGGGGGGGCGAGGGCTGCATGGTGGTTCACTGGGGGACAGTAAGAACCATGGGAAGGGCCCCCTAAGGGGGAGGGGGACGCCAGGCTCTGTGGCAGGAAAGTGACTAGCTGCCCTTCGTTGTCAGCCAGGGATGAGGACACAGCCACGCTCCCACCCGTCTGCCCATGATCACTTGGCAACAGCGATATCTGCTGCCAGCGCCCGAGGCCTGCGGGCCACCTACCACCAGCTCCTCGACGAAGTGGAGCTGATGCTGCCCGAAAAATTGAGACCGTTGTACAACCACCCAGCAGGTCCCAGAACAGTTTTTTTCTGGGCTCCAATTATGAAATGGGGGTTGGTGTGTGCTGGATTGGCTGACATGGCCAGACCTACAGAAAAACTCAACACAGCTCAATCTGTTGTTTTAATGGCTACGGGGTTTATTTGGTCAAGATATTCACTTGTAATTATTCCAAAAAATTGGAGTCTGTTTGCTGTCTATTTCTTTGTGGGGACAGTAGGAGCTTCTCAGCTTTTTCGAATTTGGAGATATAACCAAGAACTAAAAGCTAAAGCAAATAATTAAAAGAGTTCCTGATGTCCTGAACGCTCTAGATGTAAACATAACCACTGGAACCTAGTTTATTGTTTACTTTTAGATAAGACAATGTTAACTGTGCTGACCCTTAGAAGGCACAAAAAAATCTAACTGTGCCTGATTCAACAGTAAAATGAAGCAAACTTTTATTAACAACAACAAAAAAAGAATGGGAAACCTTAGTGTAACAATTTGAAGAAACAGTCTTTTTTTGTGTGTGTGTGAGACAGAGTCTAACTTTGTTGCCCAGGCTAGAGTGAGTGCCGTGGGCATCAGCCTAGCTCACAGCAACCTCAAACTCCTGGGCTCAAGCAATCCTGCTGCCTCAGCCTCCCAAGTAGCTGGCACTACAGGCATGCACCAACTATGCCTGGTTAATTTTTTCTATATATACTAGTTTTCTTTCTCTTTGTAGTAGAGAGGGGAGTCTCGTTCTTGCTCAGGCTGATTTCGAACTCCTGACCTCCAGCAATCCACCTGCCTGGGTCTGCCGGAGTGTTAGGATTACAGGCCTTAGCTACTGTGCCCTGCGCGAAACAAGAGTCTTTTAGTCATTGTTGATGGAAATGTATAGGGGTAAAAAGCCCTTTTAGAGCATAATCTGGCACTGGATTTCCAAGCTTTCAAGATAGGGATATCTTTTGACTGAATAATTCTGTTTTACTTCTAGGAGGTTATCTCTTAAAGCACAGTAATCAATGAAAAGTACATGAAGATGTATTTGCAATGATGTTTCTGAGGAGAAAACAACTTTTTTTCCTACTCTTTTACACAGTCACTGGACAGAATGCTTCTTTTTTTTTTTTTTTTTGAGACAGAGTCTCATTCTGTTGCCTGGGCTAGAGTGCCGTGGTGTCAGCCTAGCTCAGCAACCTCAGACTCCTGGCTGAAGCGATCTTTTTGCCTCAGCCTCCCGAGTAGCTGGGACTACAGGCATGCGCCGCCATGCCTGGCTAATTTTTTCTATATATTTTTAGCTGTCTAAGTAATTTCTTTCTATTTCTATTACAGATGGGGTCTCACTCTTGCTCAGGCTGGTTTCGAACTCCTGACCTTGAGCGATCCACCCGACTCCACCTCCCAGAGTGCTAGGATTATAGGTGTGAGCCACCATGCCCGGCCAAATTTTTTTTGATTGACATATACTTGTATGTATTTGTGGAGTACATAATGATGTTTTGGTACCTCCGATGTGTACTAATCAGTGTAATTAGCATATCCATCATCTCAAACATTTATTTTGTGTTGGGAACATTCAGTATCCTCCTAGTTATTTGAGAGTATATATTATTGTGAACTATAGTCATGCTGCAGTGATATAGAGCGTTAGAACACTTCTGACACCATGTGGGGGAATTCTCCACATACCATCCAGTTTTCCAGTGATATGAGCTGGGTGTCCTATAATTCCCACATTAGGGACTCAATTGCACAAAAGTGCCCCCTTACCACTTCACATACCAGTTGCAAATTACAAGTTGTGACCTGTATCTGTGACTGATTGGCTATAAATTGGGGCTCCTGTGACTCCCTCCTTGAGTTAGGTTAATTTGCTAGAGTGGCTCAGAGAACTGAGGGAAACACTTTACTTATATCTACCCATTTATGAGAAAGGATATTTTAAAGGATACAGATCAACCAGACGAAGAGATACATAAGGCAGTATGGCGTTGCTGGGATACCTCTTAGCACTTAAGTGTGTTCTTCACCGACCCGAAACACTGAACTCTGTCCTTTTGGGGTTTCTATGGCAGCTTCATTACATAGGCATGATTGATTACAACCATTTGGCATTAACAATCAACTCAACTTTCATACTGTCTCCCCTCCCTGAAGGGTGAGGGACTGAAAGTTTCTACCCTCTAATTATACAGATGGTTCCACTGGCAACCAGCCTCCAACCTGAGATTGTCCAGGAGCCCACCAAGAGTCACCTCATTAAAACAAAAGATTCTCTATGAGTCAGGAAATTTCAGGATATTTAGGAGCTCTGAGTTAGGAACTAGGGCCAGAGACCAAATATAGTAGAACGAATGATTTTTCTAGTGCCTCTATCTATAAGGTTTTAGGAGCTCTTTGTCAGGAACTGGGGCAAAGAATCATAGTGTTCAAAAAGCATTATTTGAAAAAGTGAGTAATTGGAAACAACTGAAATGTTTAATAGCAGGAAATGTGACGCGTAAATTATGGCATAACATTTTAATGGATTGCTATGTTCAGGTAGAGTTAGATGTGTGTACAACCATGGAAATCAGCAACTGTATTGTTGAGTGAAAAAAAGAACAGTTACATGATAACTTAGTTATGATTCCTTTTGTTTAAAAATGTATATACAAAAGAAGTATACTGAGATACTCTGAGATACTTTTCTCCATGAAAATGTTAACACTGGTTATTTGAATATGGCTTGGTGAAATTTCAGGTTATTCTCACCATTTTGGTATTACTTGTAAATAAGCATGTGTTGATTTTATAGCAAATCCCTCCACATATGTGCATATACTACATTATTAAACTCTTCCCATGTAACTAAGTCTATAGGCTTTTTTTATTACAAAATGAAGATAGCTTAAGTGACAAAAAGTTACGAAATGTGCAATTTTATATGCTAAAACATAGAATGGTAATATTGATTTTGTTTAGGTAGTTATCTGGGTGACTTATTTTTCTGTCTTTCTATATTTTCTAAATTTTTTTTTTTTTTTGAGACAGAGTCTCGCTTTGTTGCCCAGGCTAGAGTGAGTGCCGTGGCGTCAGCCTAGCTCACAGCAACTTAAACTCCTGGGCTCAAGCAATCCTGCTGCCTCAGCCTCCTGAGTAGCTGGGACTACAGGCATGTGCCACCATGCCCGGCTAATTTTTTCTATATATATTAGTTGGCCAATTAATTTCTTTCTATTTTTAGTAGAGATGGGGTCTTGCTCTTGCTAAGGCTGGTTTTGAACTCCTGACTTCGAGCAATCCGCCCACCTCGGCCTTCCAGAGTGCTAGGATTACAGGCGTGAGCCACCTCGCCCGGCCTATATTTTCTAAATTTTTACAGTGACTGCTGTGATGCTTATAGCAGAATGATAAGAAGCACTGTAAATGTTTTGTTTCTTAACAGAAAACTGGTCATATCTGAAATCAGATTTACCAGATGAGCTGTTTGAAGGGTAGATGCATAAAAATCCAAGATAGTTTTTGTATTGATAATGTTTTTATAGAGTTTGGACATTTTAAAAACATTTATAATAAGGTGAAGTTTACACATAGATTTACACAAAGGGTATACCGCATTTATTTTTAGATAAATTTAAAAGAGATTTACTTCCATTTCAGAAGATGTAATAGATTGGAGACATCTAACATCATGTGTTTGACATACAACAATGAAGGGAGCAAAGAAGAGTAGTAGTAGGAAGAGCAGAGGGCAACAAAATAAATTACCGGGTGAAAGGTTGTGTAGTCCTTTCACAACTTGAGTCAAGTATATGGTGATTTTTCACAAGTTGTGATGGCAGATGCTTCACCCTCCTGCTTTCCTCACTTGCATTGTTTCTGCTTGCTTTTCCTGGAGGTTCCTGTTCTTCAGGGGTAGAAACAGGAAGTGGTTTGAAAATGGCATTCTGCAGCCAATATAACTGTAATCAAAAGATTGCATTATGCTCTACTTTTTTCTCTTCCTTACTAGCTGCATTTTAAAAATTGATACATATTTGTACATATTTATGAGATACATGTGATATTTTGTTACATGCTTAGAATATGTAATGATGGAGTCAGGGTATTAAGGGAATCTATCACCTTAAGTATTCATCATTTCTGTGTGTTGGGAACACTTTAAGTCCTCCCTTTGAGGTATTTTATTTTATTTTATTTTATTATTTTATTTTTTTGAGACAGAGTCTCACTTTGTTGCCGAGGCTAGAGTGAGTGCCGTGGCATCAGCCTACCTCACAGCAACCTCAAACTTCTGGGCTCAAGCGATCCTCCTGCCTCAGCCTCTCGAGTAGCTACAGGCATGTGACACCATGCGTGGCTAATTTTTTCTATATATATTAGTTGGCCAGTTAATTTCTTTCTATTTATAGTAGAGACGGGTCTCGCTCTTGCTCAGGCTGGTTTCGTACTCCTGACCTTGAGCAATCTGCCCGCCTCGGCCTCCCAGAGAGCTAGGATGAGCCACTTCACCCAGCCGCTTTGAGGTATTTTGAAATGCTACTTTGATCCCCTTTTCCTATTGATGATTCTTTGATTTTTTTGTTTGTTTTGATTTTTCTCCCTATGATTAGCTTACTGCTCCAGAAAAAGCTTCATAAGTTTGAGTTGGCCTGTTTGGCCAACCTTTGCCCAGAGACTGCTGAGGAGTCCAAGGCTCTGATCCCAAGGTTAGTACCAGTCGTGATAAATTCTGTGTATATTGGATAAATACCCACAAATATAATTGCTATATCAGAAAGGTGTATGTATTTAAAATTTGGGTAGATAATTGCCAATATTGAATGAGAGTGCCTTTTTAATAGTGTATGAGAATGATGGTTTTATACCACACCAAGTGATAGCCAGACTATGGAATAGCTGGAACTCACAATGATGATAGGAGTGCCAAGTAGTACAATCATTTTGTGGGCAATTTGGCTATGTCTAATAAAGTTAAAGGTGGACTTACCCCAGGATCCAAAAATCCATTCCTAGGTACATGTCCTAAAGGGAACCCACACAGGTTTACAAGAAGATGTGTATTCCAGTGTTCATTGGTGCATTGTTGGTGACAGCAGAAATTTGACAACAATCTGTAGGTCCGTAAGAGAACGGATAAATGAATCATTGTATGGCCATACAGTGTTGTTTTTTTTTTATGTCCTCCTCCCCCTCCCTCAGGCTCTTTTGGCCATACAGTGTTTATTGTACAGCATTGAAAAAACATTAACGAGCAAGAACAACATGGAATAATATCAACACATGCCAAAATGACTGTTGAGGAAAAAAGTTGCAGAAGAATCCCTACTGGATGATACCATTTCTTACATAAAGTTTATAAACAGTGCTATTTGTTACTTATGGATACATGTATGTATAATAAGTGTAAAAATGTATGGGAATGAAAAATACCAAATTTAGGACAGTATTAATAAATATTTCTGGGCTGGACGAGGTGGGTCACGCCTGTAATCCTAGCACTCTGGGAGGCAAAGGTGGGGGGAGTGCTTGAAGTCAGGAGTTTGAAACCACCCTGAGCAAGAGCGAGACCCTGTCTCTACTATAAATAGAAAGAAATTAATTGGCCAACTTAAAATATATAGAAAAAATTAGCCGGGCATGGTGGTGCATGCCTGTAGTACCAGCTACTTGGGAGGCTGAGGCAGCAGGATTGCTTGAGCCCAGGAGTTTGAGGTTGCTGTGAGCTAGGCTGACACCACGGCACTCACTGTAGCCTAGGCAACAAAGCGAGATTCTTTCTCAAAAATAAACAAACCAAAAAAAGAAAAACATTATTTCTGGATAAGAAGGGGAAGGTATTGGGCTGGGGGAGCATACACAGAGCCATCAGTTAGTCCTGTTATGTTTATTAAGGAAATATAAGTCAAGTAGGGCTGTTAAAGCTGTTTTTTATACCTTTTCTGTGTTCAAAATATTTTATAATGTTTTTCAAAGGAAAAGCAGAAAAAAAAATACAGTTGAAAGGTAAAGATGTTAGAGATGTGGGCAAGAGATGACCATGCTTCAAAAAAGAATGTGGGAGAATTGCCAATGGCAAAGTCACTTTTTTTTTTTTCTTCTTGTAGCCTGGAGGGGCGGTTTGAAGACGAGGAGCTGCAGCAGATTCTTGATGATATCCAGACAAAGCGCAGCTTTCAATATTAATCTCCAGACATCACTCTGCTGCTTGGGAGGACCATGTGCCCAGCACAGCACCACCTTCCCAGGGTCTGTGTCTGACTTGCACAGAAATTCTATTGCAGAAGACAGTTGGGCTTCTTTGGAGAGAACAGCTCAGCTGGTGTTGGCTTACATTGCTGTTTTAAATGACTGTTAGGCCATCATGACACATAATCTTGGAGCAGCCGTATAGCTGCTGCCTGTGGCTTCCTGAATGTGCTTCTGGGAAGAGTAAAGGGCGGGGGGGGGGATGTGCATAAGCCACACTGTTGACTGTCTCATCTTGTGGTTTTGGGCCCCCGCATCATTTTTTTATTCTTAATACTTCATGTTTTAATTTCAATGTGTTTATACTTTTTGAAACTAGACCAGAACTTAGTAAACTTATGTATGGAAAGAACAGTTTTACCTAGATCCCGAAGGAAGAATTAAACTGGTGTCATTATTTGAAATTCTTAAAGGATGAGAGTTGTTAGTGACTGAGAGAGCCTTGGTATCATTGTGCCTAACCGAGAGTCAGGGGGAAGCAGTTACACCTGAAAACAACTGTGCTACTTTTCTGGGTCCTGTAGCCTTGAGTAGAGTAGACAGCTACTTTGCCTTTGTTCTTGGGCTTGTGGAATGTGGATTTGAAGTAAGTGGTCCTGAACCACTCATGTCACCCTCAAATTAAGATGTTTCCATTGGCCAGGCATGGTGGCTCACACCTGTAATCCTAGCAGGCTGGGAGGTGGAGGCGGGAGTATCGCTCAAGGTCAGGAGTTTGAGACCAGCCTCAGCAAGAGCAAGACCCTGGCTGGGCGCAGTGGCTCACGCCTGTAATCCTAGCACTCTGGGAGGCTGAGGTGGGCGGATTGCTCGAGGTCAGGAGTTCGAGGCCAGCCTGAGCTAGAGCGAGACCCCGTCTCTACTAAAAATAGAAATTAATTGGCCAACTAATATATATATATATATTTTTTTTTTTTTCACACAAGAGGAGGTTTATTTTCTGGCTAGCCAGGGTCCAAGCCCCAGAGCACCAACGCAGTGGCCACTCTCGCAGGCAAGGACTGGCCAACTAATATATATACAAAAAATTAGCCGGGCATGGTGGCACATGCCTGTAGTCCCAGCTACTAGGGAGGCTCAGGTAGGAGGATTGCTTGAGCCCAGGAGTTTGAGGTTGCTGTGAGCTAGGCTGACGCCATGGCACTCACTCTAGCCTGGGCAACAAAGTGAGACTTCGTCTCAAAACAAAAACAAAAACAAAAAACAAGACCCTGTCTCTCCTTAAAAAAAAATAGAAAGAAATTAGCCAGACAACTAAAAATATATAGAAAAAATTAGCTGGGCATGGTGGCACATGCCTGTAGTCCCAGTGGCTTGGGAGGCTAAGACAGGATGATCACTTGAACCCAGGAGTTTGAGATTGCTGTGAGCTAGGCTGATGCCATGGCACTCTAGGTTGGGCAGTAGAGTGAGACTCTGTCTCAATAATAATAATAATATATTAATCACAAATAATAGCTGGCCTCCCTATATAAGATTGCACAGAGCAGCTCTTGGCAAAGCAGATTCTTTAGGGTCTAGTCCAAACTGAACTTTTGAGAAACTCTCTTCTGCCAGTAAACAAATTCTCAATAAGTAGGGGTTATTTGAAAAATATTCAACAACCTAGCCGGGCATAGTGGCTCACAGCTGTAATCCTAGCACTTTGGGGCAATATAGTGAGACCCATGTCTATAAAAAATAAGAAAAAGAAGCACATGCTTCAAGTTCCAGCTACTCAGTAGGCTGAGGCAAGAGGATCTCTTGAGCCAAGGAGTTCAAGGCTGCAGTGAGTTATGATGATGCCACTGCACTCGAGCCTGGGTGACAAATTAAGGCACTGTCTCAAAAAAAAGGAACAAAACCAAAAAAAAAAAAAAAAAAAAACCGCAGAATATTTAACAGCCTAGGGGGTCACTGGCCCTAGTGTGATCAGGTGTTAACTCTGTAATTGCTGGATCTAATCCTGGGGAGATGAAGATGGTCAGAGCTTACTTATGGAAGTAGTCCAATATTTTAAAAACTGGTAAGCCCTGAGGTCCTTCCAGGCTCAATCTCTCATATATACATGTGTGTGTGCGTACGTGTGCGCCTCTCTCTCTCTCTCTTTCACACACACACACACACATACTCAGGAACAGAGGCCTGGTAACTCCCAGGTTTATTTGCATTTAAAACAGGAGGTGTCAGGCAGAAGGTCCTTGAGCCCAGGTGTTTGTGGTTAAGCACTGTTAAGTGTCTTAAGTGTCTAATTGAAACATCACAACCCTTGGGGAGTTTTTAAAAACACTCTCAGGCCTTCATGCTCTTATGATCTCTAATGCTCTTATACCTTTTCATGATTTGATATTTTATTAATTAAACGAAGTTTATCAACTAACTACCATATAGATTAGGATCAAAAAGGAGAACAAGGGCCGGGTGCTGTGGCTCATGCTTGTAATCTTACCACGCTGGGAGTCCGAGGCTAGGAGTTCGAAACCAGTCTGAGCAAGAGTGAGACTCCCGTCTCTACTAAGAATAGAAGGAGATGAATTGCCAATTAAAAAAAAAAAAAAATATATATATATATATATATAAAAATTAGCTGGGCATGGTGGCGGATGCCTGTAGTCCCAGCTACTCGGGAGGCTGAGGCAGAAGGATTGCTTAAGCCCAGAAGCTTGAGGTTGCTGTGAGCTATGCTGATGCCAAGGCACTCTAGCCCGGGCATGGTCTCAAAAAAAAAAAAAAAAAAAAAAAGAACAAGATGACAAGGTTCCAGCTCTCCCCCAGCTTCTTCTAGTGGGAAGAGAGAGACAAGAAGAGCTGCTAGTTAGATTAGCCTTGGAAGGTGTACTACATTAGATATGGTGTTTGGAATTGATGTCTAAGGAGATGCTGTTTGACTGCCAAGGATGCCCTTATGGGGAAATATAGGAGGAATGACTTCCAGACCAGGAGTGGAATATACCAAGTGGGAAGGCATGCATGGGCAGGGGTAGGGGTGGGTGTGCAGAGAAAGCAAGCTGGAGCGGCTGGAGCTTCCTGAGTCAGAGAAAAATTGGCAGGAGCTCAGGTTTCAGATGTAAACAGATCTAAATTATGGTGTGAGGGGTTTGTATTTTATACTCAGCACATCGGGAAGCTATTTGGAGGTTCTAAGTAGGGAGGGTGAGTAAGGTCTGATTTTTGTTTTAAACAGTCATTCTGGCTGCTATGTAGAACACAGACTGGAGTTTGGTGGGAGGGGAAACAGATGAAAAGGGGAAACGGAGGATTGTTGGGAGATTATTGCAGCAGCTCAGCAAAAATGGCTTGGGCTCTAGCTGGGATCAGCACACCTTAAGAGGTGAAAGAGTATGCCAGGCATTGTGGGCTACTTACAGGTCTGTCACATAGTCTTGTCTTTTTTTTTAAAACCCTTTTAAAAATGTAAAAGCCATTGTTTACTAGAATGCAAGCAGTCTCGTATCTGGACTAGAACGATAGCAGTGGAAATGAGATGTGGTCAGATTTGCAATTTGTTTTGAAGACTGAGCCATATTATTCCATTTTACCAAGGAATAAGCTGAAATTCAGAAAAATGAATATTTTGCAGCCAGAAAATTAGAGGTAAGATGAAAATTCCAGAAAAGATTTCAATCCAAGACTGTCTGACTAATGGCATTTCTAGAGATAGAAAAATATTTAGGACACACAAGGATGAGGCTTTGATGAAATAGTCCCAAAGCCAAGGGCAAACCCTGAGATGGAGAATGAACTTGCCAAGTGTTCCTAAAATTCTGTAAGAGGCATTGCAGTGGAGTCAATAGAGACCAACATCAGTTCACCTGTGGCAGAACCAGGGCTCTGACCCAAGCCTACTGACATGGGGTTCAGTGTTCTTTTTCTTTCCCTGCATGCTTTGTAATAGAGATGTGTAGTTGCATGTACAGTATTCTAACAAGCATTTTTTCTTTTTTTTTTTTTTAGTAGAGATGGGGTCTGGCTCTTGCTTAGGCTGGTTTTGAATACCTGACCTTGAACGATGCTACCGCCTGGGTGGGGGGGGACAAACTGGACATAATATTGTCAACTGTTACAAATAGAAATGCATTTAGTAACAAATTGACTGGGCCTGGTGGCTCACAGCTGTAATCCCAGCACTTTGGGAAGCTAATGGAGGAGGATTACTTGAGGCCAGGAGTTTGAGACCAGCATGAACCACATAGCAAGATCCTGTCTCTACAAAAACAAAAAATTAGGTATGGTGGTGCAAGCCTGTAGTCCCAGCTATTCGGGAGACAGGCAGGAGAATCGCTTGACTCCAGGAATCTGAGGTTGTGGTGAACTATAATGATGCCACTGGCAACATAGCAAGCCCCTGTCTCAAAGAAAACCAAAAAAATCAAATAAATAATTTAACATACTTTAGGAATCTGCTACTGCAATTAAAAAAACCCACAAACTCTCTCTCCTGTAACTACAAAAGCAAAAGAGGTATTTGAAGAAAATAGTTGTCCTTAAACCCATTTTTATATATTTCCTTGGTTATTTCTAGGCACATAAACAATATAAGCATTTCTGATGCCATAAAAACTTTGTATAGTCTGTGGTGGACGTGTTTCCATTTTTTTTCTATCATCTAAACCTCAGTGAATGGTTAGTACACAAATCTTTTTCACATTTCTGAGACTATCCTTAGGATAGATTTTTAAAAGAGGATTATGGAGTCAAAACTAAGAAATATTTTTTATTTATTTTTAATTTTTTAATTTTCCAGTTCTTCCCCAAAGAAAAAACTAATAAATATTTTTAAGAGTCTTGATCCATATCGGAGAACTAGTTGTTTTGCTGTTGTATTCTCTGAACTTCATATAAATGGAACCACACAGCAAGCATCCTTACTCATCCAGGTTGTTGCATTTATCAGCAGTTATTTCCTATTGCTGTGTAGAAGCCACTGTATGACTATAGTACAATTTACCCATTCAACTACTGATGGACATTTGGGTTACCACTTTTGAGTTATTATGAATAAAGGTGGTCCGAACATTCTTGTACATGCCTTTGGTGGACTTATGCACTCTTGAAGTGAAATTTCTAGGTCGTAGGGCTTTGAGATGTCTCACGTTTTGGGGCCAAACCAATGTATGCCTCTCACGTTATTGATGGCTTTACCTGTAACCCCTGTCTCTGAAATGTATAAAAACCAAATTGTAACCTAGCCAGGAGTCCACTTGCCCAAGGCCTCTTGCCAGTGGCTCCGGGTCATGGTCCTGAAATTTGGCTCAGAATAAATCTCTTTAAAATTTAAAAAAAAAAAAAATTTTTTTTTCTAGGTCACAGAATAAGCGTACACTTATCTTTTAGTAGAAACTCAAACGGTTTTCCAAAGTGGTGGTACCTTCATCTGTTAACTTAAAACAAAAAAACAAAGTGGTTGTACCATAAGATAACTCGCTCTCCGTT